AACTAACAAGAAAAAAACAACAAAAATAGAAATGGTGAAAGGTTTGGCAGGTATCATATTGGATATGGTGCCCTAACTTGTCAGTTGAGAATTGATTGTCTGGTTATCCTCTTAAGTTGAACCTTAACTGTTGGTTGAAAATATTGATAACCCCTTAAACTTGCCTCGAAATTTATTTGGACACTTTAAATTATGGCGTATTTCAATTGAGCACTTAAACACATGATAAATTGTTCCTATTAGACACTTTCGGTTCACATTTTGATTTCTTTATGCATGTTTTTAAGCGCCCATTACGTGGATAAGTTAATCACGTAAAATATGCCTACTTTAGTTATACACATCAACATCAATTGGAACTGGCCTGAACTTTTATGGCTTATTGACCCTAATGCATAATTAAAGGAGGTGATATATTTTAAGTGATTAACTTGGCGTAATAGAGGCTTGAGAATATGCACAAAAGCTTTTCTACAAATTTGAGTCAAAAGTGTCCAATAGAAATACTTTGTCACGTGTTCTGGTGCTCAACTGAAACATGTTGTAGTTCAAATGTCTAAATAAAATTTACTGATAAGCTTAAGGGAATATCGATGTATTCTGCCTTTGTTGTTAGTTCTTTGATGAAGGGAATTTGTTTTAGGTACTCTTTGCTACTTTTCTAATTATCATATGACAAAATAAGTTAGGTGTTACTAGGTTCAATAAATTTTTGACTATTGCCTTAATATCCCGTTTCCCATTAAATTAAAATATAAGACATAGAATGTAAGATTTTAGTACACATCTGGAGAGCTCAAGACCTGTGAGAACTCTTCTGGAGTCTCTACAGCAAGAAGAGAAATTTGAGTTCTTGCTGATATCAGTTCACATTTAATAACAATTTTCACTTAGGTGGATCGGCTAGGATTTGTCCATTATGACATGCCATTTGCAGTATCTTTACCATTTTTTGTTGGACTCAGATGGTTTAACTTCTTTACAGTGCCATGGGAGTAGTTAAACTCTTGTCTGGTCAACCAAAAGAAGGTGTTTCAGTAGAAGCTCGATCTGAGTCAAAAGGCTTGTATGAGGAGACAGTAACAGATTCAACAGGATTTTACCGTTTGAGAGGACTCCTACCCGATACTACTTATGTAATTAAAGTAGCAAGGAAAGTTGCATCTGGTGGAGCTATGATTGAGCGTGCATCTCCTGAGTTTCTGACCGTTCAGGTTGGTACACTTCATATTGCCATTTTTCCTTTAATGTTCATGAGTGAATAGGAAATCATAAACTTGGTTATCCTTTTGAAATTGTTCTTATATGTTGATCATTGAACTGAAAGGAATTTAAATTATATATATCATTCCGTAAAGGATATGCAAGAGGAATCAGTTAGAGCTGTAAGAATAGTGGGGTAAATATGGAGTAGCAACTTTCCTTGCTTCTTTAATCACAAACTGGACAATGCCAGAACACACAGCAGACCTTCTTAGTTGCTGGGTGAGGAGAGGGGGTAGTAAGAACCAGAAAAAATTGTGGAACATGATACCCTCTTGTATATGGTGGACTATTTTGGAGAGAAAGAAAATCAATGCAAAAGATTAAATGGCATTGTATGAAGACTTTTTTTTTCTGTGTGTAAAGAGGAGAGGATATAGAGGATGCGGGACAGATTTTAAACTTTTTTTTCTTCTTTATAAGTTTAGTCTCAGCTTTCTTGATTTGTTTTTTTTTGGGTCACTGATGTAAATCTTTTTGGTGGTTGCCAGCATACCCTATTGCTGAGGAATACAACTTTACCTTTATCAAAATAAAATAAAATAAAATATGGAGTATCTTATTATTGTTGGTTTGCACCAGGATTAGCTTCTTTTTTTTAATCCACCCAGAATTGCTCGTACTTCTTTAGTCTACTTATAGATGAACTAACCAATACGAGGTCCTATGATATTTGCTACTTGTCAGAGATATTGAATCAATTGATGAAATTTGTGATAGAGTCCAAAAATTTGAACTGTGGGGAAGCACTCCACCGAAAGGGTTTTAGGATAAGTAGAAGTAAGAATATATACATTGCAACTTTTATTACATGCTCTTGCCAAGATTCGTTTTGTGGCTTCTGCATAATGTCTATGTATGTCTAGATGTTCTGTGTGAGACAACAAAGTTCTTATTTTGTTAAGTTATGGTTAAAAATACGAGACATGGTCTGTAAATTTTATCTAATCTGTCCCTTTGAAGGCACAGTTGTTTGACATATTTTTTGCTTGTGCTAACTTCATATAATTTGCAGGTCAAAGCTGAGGACTCTAGGGGATTAGATTTTGTAGTATTTGAACAACCAGAGAGGACAATTTTAAGTGGTCATGTTGAAGGACATAAAATCAAAGAGTTCAACTCACATCTCCATGTGGAGATCAAGTCTGCTGCTGATCCATCGAAGATTGAGTACAACTTCCCACTTCCCCTCTCAAACTTTTTCCAGGTGAAGGACTTACCTAAGGGTAAATCCCTTGTACAGCTCAGATCATCTCTGCCTTCAAGCACTCACAAATTTGAATCAGATGTTATTGAGGTTGATTTAGAGAAAAATTCTCAAATTCATGTGGGTCCACTCAAGTACAAGATCGATTTCAATCACCAAAAACAGGTAATGTGTATCAACTATTGGATGCTAATATTCTTTTTATTGTTTCTGTGATGATAATGATGTTGGTTTGCCCTTTCTGTCTCCTCCATGATTCCAGGATTTAACTCCAGCTCCTGTGTACCCTCTGTTTGTTGGAGTTTCTGTGATTGCGCTTTTCATTGGGATGCCAAGGTATCTGGGAAACTTTCTTTGATCTAATTCTTTATCTTTCTATTTTCATTTCCATGAAATTAGAAAAACGTCTGTTTCGATTTCTTTCTTGCAGATTGAAGGATTTATACCAAGTCATGATGGGAATGTCTTCATCATCAAAGAAAGAAGTGAAAAGACCTATAGTGAGAAAGAAAACATACTGAGGAATGGATCTACTTTTTAGAGGAGCTTTGAAGTAGTGATGTTTAGGTAGGTGACATGAATGAATGATCTATAAGAGCAGATGTAGTTTTTATTCGTCCATCGATTCAAGCAAATCTTCACTCGTCGTCTACGATAGACACTGATACTGAATTTTCATTTGTTAGTTGTTAGCTCTTCAAATTTTGACAATTTTAACCTCAATATATTCATACCTGTGCCAATTTTTGGGATGGTTTCAGTAATTATATTTTTGTGATTCCATCTATATTTAGCTTTTGTACCCTCTCTTTTAGTATTTTGTTTTGCAACTTGTAAAGAGTGTTGAAGGAGAGGAAAAATGATACTACAAAAATAAAAATGGCTAAAGTTTATTTCGTTTTTTTTTTCTGACGTAAAAGTTATGTTACATTTTCTTTTGGGAAAATACATCAAATCCCCCTCAAACTTGTCCACAAAACTCACTTTAGCATTGTAACTTTATGGGTGTTTAAACACCCCCTTAAAGAACTTTCAGGTAAATTAAACAACACCTTATATATACAATACCAATTTCATGGTTGGAAGGTGATATACATGCGCACCACCTCAGTGACACGTTGACAACACGTCATAGGGTGAAAAAAATTAGTTTTCATTTCTTTTTTCTTTTTCCATGTCATTTTTTGTTTTTAGTTTTCATTTTTTTTTTTGTTCTTCATATATTTTTGTTCTCATTTTCACTGTGTACTCATCTTCTTCTTCGCTCCATCTTCTCCATTACAAGCCTATGATAGAAAACTAACACATAATATTTCTAATAATTTGACGAATATTATGTGTCAAACAGAGCGATACATATATAATATATTATCATCATTGAAGCTGGAGTTGCTAGAGCTTCAACGGCAACTGTCGGCGACTGCTTCAACGGTAATTGTCAGAGTCATTTTTGTTATATTAGGCTCAAAATAGACAAATCTGAAGGTTTTCAGACCGTTTACCTTGGTTGCCGGAAAAACGAGAACACATAAAATGAAAAAAAGCCTAGGAAACGAGTATGGCCGGCGTTTTGTTCAGGTCGCTGGCGTGGTGAATTTTTTTGACGAGATCGGGTGATTTCACGGCACCTAGTCTCTTATGGAGCGGTGATGAACGAGGAAAAAAGGGGGTGGCGGTGATGTCCTTCATGATTGAGCAACATTGAATTTGTTGGCCCATAATTGCCATCAAGAATTTTAGAGAGAGTTGAAACAATTTGAGAGAAAGAGGATATGGAAAACGGGTAGTTGAACAACAACAAAGTGGGACCCACTTATTTTTCTTTTTAATTTTTTCTTTATACGCGCCTAAAACTTTGTAATTTGCCACATCAGTCACTAAGGTGATATTAAATTCACTTACAAGTAGTTTAAGGGGATATTTAAATGCACGTAAAGTTATAGTACTAAAGATAAGTTTGAGAGGAATTTTATGTGTTTTCCCTTTTCTTTATAACTAAATCCCAACAATACAAACTCTCCTAAAAAATTTTAACCATAGTATTGAAAACTATTTAACAAAATTTCATGGTTAAGTATAATTATTCGTGAACTTATTAATATTTAATTTTTTAATCAATTATATTTTAGAGAGTCGACTAAAATTTTCTAAAATAATTTTAATTATAAAAGATTGAATTCATAAGTATTCGTTTATTATGGTATCACTTTTGCACGATTTTCTGGTTATTTACTATATTCTCCTTCATTATCTCGAGATTTGTTACACTTGAGCTGAACGTAATAATCTTTTTTTTTTTTATATCGAGATTTGCTGCATTTGGTATACCTAATGCCACGTAGGTTGACAACTATAAAGAAACCCTACAGCCGCCGGCGGTCAAAACAGAGTAAAAGATTACAGTGTCTGAAAATGTGGCAACAGTCGATACCTCAGCTCAGCACTTTCTCTCTCTAGAATTCAATCTTCTCTCCTAAAACCCTATCCTTTCTCTTTCCTAAAAAGCTCTCTTTTTTTTTTCCAATCAACAATGGCTTCTTCCACTCCCCCACCTCACTGTGCACTCACTACCTCTAAACCTTATCAACCTCACCCCTTACCCCAAACTCACTCCCACCCCCACCCCAACCACCGGAACAATCATCAACGCCATTGGTCCTCTCAAAAAGTCTCCTTGAATCGACCTGCACCACCTCGCAATGCTACCCACCCCCCACCTTCCCAAACCCCTAATTTTCTCTCTCTATCTTCATCAAAATCGGATTTTTCAGCTGATTTTTCGGGTCGACGTTCGACCCGATTCGTTTCCAAGATGCATTTCGGCCGGGCAAAGATATCGGGTAACGGAAGGCATTCTTCATTTGCTGAGGAGGCTCTTGAAGAAGCTATTCGTTGTTGTAAGAATGAAGCTGGTTTAGACCAAGTGTTGTTGACTTTTGGGTCTAAGCTTTTAGGGTCTGATGATTATACTTTTTTGTTCCGTGAACTTGGGAATAGAGGGGAATGGTTAGCTGCTATGCGTTGCTTTGAATTCGCTGTTGGACGTGAAAGGAAGCGTAATGAGCAAGGTAAATTAGCTAGTTCAATGATTAGTATACTTGGAAGATCAGGGAAGGTTGATTTAGCTGAGAAAGTGTTTGAGAATGCTGTGAGTGACGGGTATGGTAATACTGTTTATGCTTATTCTGCCTTGATTAGTGCTTATGCGAAGAGTGGGTATTGTAATGAAGCTATTAGAGTCTTTGAGACCATGAAAGATTCCGGCTTGAAGCCTAATTTAGTGACTTATAATGCGTTGATTGATGCTTGTGGGAAAGGGGGTGCTGATTTTAAGAGGGCGTCAGAGATTTTTGATGAAATGCTGAGAAATGGGGTTCAACCGGATAGGATTACCTTTAATTCGTTGCTTGCTGTTTGTAGTGGTGCAGGATTGTGGGAGACTGCGAGGGGTTTGTTTAACGAGATGATTTATAGAGGAATTGATCAGGATATATACACGTATAATACATTTTTGGATGCAGCATGTAATGGGGGGCAGATAGATGTTGCTTTTGATATTATGTCTGAGATGCATGCAAAGAATATTTTGCCCAACCAAGTCACCTACAGTACTGTGATTCGTGGGTGTGCAAAAGCAGGGAGATTAGACAGAGCGTTGAGTTTATTTAATGAGATGAAGTGTGCTGGCATAACATTAGACAGGGTTTCATACAATACTTTACTTGCTATATATGCAAGCCTGGGAAAATTTGAGGAGGCTCTTAATGTTAGCAAGGAGATGGAGAGTATGGGAATTAAGAAAGATGTTGTCACTTACAATGCTCTTCTGGATGGGTTTGGCAAACAGGGAATGTATACCAAGGTTAAGCAGTTGTTTGCAGAGATGAAAGCTGAAAAGCTTTCACCTAACTTATTGACGTACTCCACATTGATTAGTGTGTACTTGAAAGGAACCTTGTATCATGATGCGGTAGAGGTCTATAAGGAGTTCAAGAAGCAAGGTCTGAAGGCAGATGTTGTTTTTTATAGCAAACTTATTGATGCCTTGTGTAAAAAAGGCCTTGTGGAGTATTCGTCGTTGTTGCTTAATGAGATGACGAAGGAAGGGATACAACCAAATGTTGTTACATATAACTCTATAATCAATGCTTTTGGTGAATCAGCAAGCAATGAATGTGGATCAGACAATGTCACACAGATTGTATCCACTATTTCTCAGAGTAAGTGGGAAAACACTGAAGTGGATAATATCGTTAAGATTTTCGAGCAATTAGCTGCTCAAAAGTCAGCTAGTGGGAAGAAAACTAATGCTGAAAGACAGGACATACTCTGCATTCTAGGTGTTTTCCATAAGATGCATGAATTACAAATAAAGCCTAATGTAGTCACATTTTCAGCAATCTTGAATGCTTGCAGGTATAATTTTCTTTCCTACTAGTTCCATGCTTTACATTGAGTTGTGCTTTCTTTAATGTGTCGTCTTTTCATTATGTGAGGTTTAGTATGATCTATTTCAACTTTTAGAAGGCAGTTTGGCTTTTTTTGGGTGGTAGTTATGTTCATTTTCTTTTTAAGGAATTTGATGACGCATTTGATCATGGACATGAAATTAGTGCTACTGGAATCGTTTGAGGGTAGGAAATGCACATGCACCAGTCTGACTTTCTGTCTCTGTCTTGAATGCTGATTGGCTAATACGTGTGTGCTATCAATATTCAATATGCTTCTTGTTTTCTGGTGAAATGCAGCTACAGACTTTTAAGATTGTTGTTTATATGAAAACAATAAAGCAGAATTAACTTTTTGTAAGCCTTGGTGGGCAGAGTTACCTGGTACTTGTGCTAGTGGAAAGTAATAGGTTCCCTGTGGAATAGTCGAACCTCCTTCTGAGTTTTCCACTGAGACAGAAATACTCTTCTCACTCTAATGAATGAAACTTTATTTTAAGCTGGATTATTCAAACATGTGTAGAGCTCCATAGACAATAGCTCATATGACCTTGCTTAGAAGTTCACAAGAGAGGCGGGGAGAGATAGAGGTGAGAGAGAGAGAGAGAGAGTTTTGGCCTTGGAGACTACTTACTATAGTTTCTTTTATTATCTGAAGTGAGTAGTTTAAGTTGTCATTAAAGTGGACCCACTGCCACATTAAGAACACCCAATCTAAGGAGTTTTTTTTTCCACTTCTAAATTACTTTGGATCAAGGGTGTTTGATAAGAAAGAAAATATTTTTCTAGAAAATAAGTCATTTTTTTTGTCACCAAACACCAGGACATTATTTCCATTACAAGGGGAAAATGACTTTCTTTGCTTATGGTTTTCTCGATAGACTGTTTGAAATAGTTTTTGAATCTTAGAGATTGTTGGATAGTGAGACAGTTTCTTACATTTTCCAGAAAATATTTACTGGGAAATAATTTTCTTCCCTACCAAACACACCCCAAATATTTTCTTCAAAGTGGGTAATACCTTTGGAATGAATCTGGAGAATGAACAAAGAATTGTGTTGTATCAAAAGAAATATATTGTCAATTCGGCGCAAATTTCCTTAGTAGAATTAGAAGTGGGTGAGAGTGCGAAAGAGGACAAAAAGATATGATTTTTTGGTGAGTAGCATTTCACTTTGTCTTGATGAACCTTTTGAACGAGTGCTCGGAAGAATTGCTACTTAAGACATTTAACATCTTTGTGGAATCCCAATGCACTTGATTGATTCAAATGTATGATAAAACTGAATGGATTTGAATATTTGAGTAGATATGATGTGTGATTCAAATATAATTGCAGCCGATGCAGTTCATTTGATGAAGCTTCACTCTTACTCGAAGAACTTCGTCTATTTGATAATCAAGTTTATGGGGTGGCACATGGACTTCTCATGGGTCAGAGGGAAGGTGTATGGGCACAAGCTCTATCTCTTTTCGATGAAGTGAAGCAGATGGACTCTTCAACTGCATCTGCCTTTTACAATGCTTTGACTGACATGCTGTGGCATTTTGACCAGGTAAAACTGCAGTTACATAACAACTATCAAAGAGAAGAAAACGTAGAGTAAATCTCTTTATCAAAGAGAAGAAAACGTAGGGAAGAAAACTAATATCGCCTTTGCATTGCCATAAATACCACCAACTCATATTTGGTGTCTTATCTAACTTTTTTCCAGAAACAAGGTGCTCAATTGGTTGTACTTGAAGGAAAACGTTCGGAAGTGTGGGAAAATACATGGTCCACTTCTTGCTTGGATCTGCATTTGATGTCTTCAGGGGCTGCTTGTGCAATGGTCCACGCATGGTTGCTTAGTATACGGTCTATAGTGTTTGGAGGCCATGAGCTACCAAAGATGTTGAGGTATTTCCTCTAATGCTCTTATATTTTTTTCAAAGTCAGACAAACTACAAGAGTGATATATACGAATGAAATGCTCGACTGTCCTCTGCAGCATTTTGACTGGCTGGGGCAAGCACAGCAAGATAACAGGTGATGGCGCCTTGAAACGAGCCATTGAAGGCTTGCTCACCAGCATAGGTGCACCATTCCAGGTAGCAAAGTGCAACATTGGGAGGTTCATATCCACAGGAGCTGTGGTAACTGCTTGGTTGAGAGAATCAGGTACACTTGAAGTGCTTGTTCTTCAAGATGATACAAGTCACTTGCGTGCCACAAGGTTTGGACAAATTTCTAATTTACAGCAACTAACATTGTAGTCGTTTATGTATAATTTGACAGGGGAATATAACATTTTTCCATTGTAAATTAGTATATAAAATATATATTCCTTTGTTGGGTGTGAATGTCCTTTCTACTTTCACTTTAAACTGAACCAGTAACCAGGAATAAGGTTCTTACTTTAAGTTTTGACGTATTGTATAATGTGAAGTTGTGAACTCAAAGTCACAGTAAAGTGTGAATTGAACACTAAGGGATCGTTTGGTGGGAGGTATTAGGAGAAATAATTTATGTATTATGTATGATATTACTTAGTACTATGTTTGGTAGAATTTTTGGGCCTAAGTATAACTAATTCACACCCTGCATGGTATTATAGGAGGTATTACTAATACCTTCCATGTGATGGTATTAGTGATACATTGGATTTAATACCATGGAATTATCTATGTAAAGACAAAAATATCCCTCAAATCATTTTATTTATTTTCTTGATTTTATGTTTTATATTTGTACTAGTAAATTCATTTAAATAAACTAGCTTACAAATTTTATTATTTAGAGAGAGTTGTTTGTTAATAAATAAATACAATACATATCAATACAATATTTAAAATGTGAGTTGTTTAATATTTACTAATTGAAAAGGCAAATATATTACCACATGACGTTTGTTATCTTAATTGAATATTTTATTTGTTGGTTTATATGTGGTTTCTATTTGTTTGTATTTTGAACAATTTATAAATTGCATACGTATTAAAGCTACACCTTGCAATTTTTATATGTAAATATAGATGATATATTCGATTTTACTATTTTTATCGTCTTTTCGATTTTAAAGTAGATGGTCTATCTATTTTAAATTGAAAATTAACGTTTTTAAGTGATTAATTTATTAAGATAACAATTGTTTACCCTCAAATAATTCAAGTGAGAAAATAGCAAACATGACAACAAAATTATTCTTCTCCTAGCTAGTTAGAAGGCCATAATAATATAATATTATTTGGCAATTATCTACCTTGACCGATTACATAAAATAAAAAATCTCATAATAATGCAAGGGTATAATTGGAAAGAAGCTTTTTGTAGAATTTTAATTCAAACACAAGATGAGGTTAGAAGCAATGAATCAAACACTTGATAAAAAATACACCCTGCACTACTAATCCCTGCACTACTAATTCATGCGTTACTAATCCATGCATTATTTATTTTTCTACCAAACGACCCCTAAAGGACAAAGACAGTAACTAGTAAGGTACTGTGATTAATATTTAATATTTATGTACAAGTAAAAGTAGTAAATCATTATAGTCTGAATGGGTTATTGGTTTACCCAATAACCCAATATAAAAAATCAATACTGATCCAATAATTCAATAATCACTTTTTATAAAACTATTAAAAAATCGTTAATCCAACAACCCAATAGTAATAAATTAATAACACTTTTTTTTCAAAATTCATGGTTCCAATTAATCAATATGTATATGTTGCTGCCCTATACAAATTAATATAAAGCAAAAAAGAGCTGTTATTTTGGGTCCCAAATCAAAGACAATACCTTACTAATTCTATGAGTCTATATTGTTCCACGATAACCCCCTCCCACACCACACCATTCCCCTCCCACTCTATTTATTTCTTTGTAGCGAAGCTAAAATCTAAAGTTTATGAAGTCTGAATTCACCGTCAAATTTATAACTTATTTTAATGATTAAGTTTGTTATTCTAGTATAAGTAACAAATCAAAATAATTAACTTTTAAGCTAAAGTTATTGAGTTCACCTAAACTCATATCTAATACGGAATATATATTGTAGCTTCGTCCCTACTTCCTTGTACCCACCATTACTTCTTAACGAGTTTCATGTGCATCCATGTTCTTGATAAGAGGTGATAATTTACAACCAAGTAATATATTATACATACCACCATTTCGATTTTAATTAATACACAAAAGAAATTTTATTATATGCATCCGTGGCATTCGTTGAACCAGATTTTCAAAGAATCATTAATTTTGTTGATTTTTTTTCTAATTATATGATTAGAAAAATTAAAGGGATGTAATTAGAGAATGCGATCTTATCCCAATTTCCAACATGGAAGATAATGAGGTCTCACTTTGTATAGACAAAAGCATGAGAAAATATGATTAGAAGATTGCTTAAATTAAGGAGCCTCCTGTTGGGGAACATGAAGTAATTAGCAATTAGCAGCCTAAAAAAGGTCTATCGAGCTGTAATAGAGTCACATTCATATTTTCATCCGATTTAGAATTTGAAGTTTACGAATTCTAAATTTGTATTCGTAATATATCTTAACTTTTTCTTTTTAGACTTTCCTCTGTAAGCTCTCAAGTGCTATTTTTTAGGTGTGCGCATAGTATAAATTCGCTCTTGTGCAATAGCTTATAAATTATACTAGAGATGTAAATTGCATTAGGCAAGTTCGATATAACAAGCTGGACTGAGAAGGTGTTTGGTAGAGGGAATCGATCTTTGTCCTCTCTTATAAAATATCATTATTACACCATCATTAAACTCATGTCACTCTAGCAATCACAGATTAAGTCTATTCACCACATTCAAAATATCTCTCAAAATTACCAAATGCCTAGAATTTAAATCTCGAATCCATCTCCCGCGACTCATATTCACATTAGGCATGCATTGAATTTGGAAAAAGGGGGTAAAGGAATAATCCAGGGTGTTTTTCATTAAAATCATGCATGCGTGTGTGTTGTAATATGGGCCTATATGAATGAAAATAAAATGTGGTGCTCTTTAATTTAAGCCATATATATATATATATATATATATATATATATATATATATATATATATATATATAATATAGTTGGGGCGGTGAAGAAAATCATCATGTGGATTCATGTGCACTACTTAGCTGGATAACATGCATTCCTATAACTTACTAACCACAAATTAATATAATGTACACTTGGCTTCTTTGCATTCATTGATTTATTTAATCCCATTCTTTTGGAATACATTAATGTATTATCCTATAATTGGCCTAATGAATCATCATATATTATAACTTATATATATAGCCATACATTTTGCTTCTAAAAACACTCATTCCCTTTGTCAAAAAAAATTGTCAAAGAGCTATCTTAAAAGATTCAACATATATACATAATTTCTTATGGGTATTTTTTCTCGTACTCCTAACAAGGGAAAGTGTGATTTAAGCGATTCTTTTTTAAGAGGCCAACGCCATATAAGGAGACAAATAGTCACGACTTATAACGTAAGGCATGTCAAAAGGTGTAAAAGTGTTGTGATGAAGAGAAGGGTACGCGTAGAACGTTCTAGAAGGCTCGAGGATGAGATTGGAAGGAAAGTCAGGGTACTTAAGAAGTTGATTCCAATTAACTGTGAGGATTTGGGGTTGGAAGGGATTTTCAGAGAGACAGCTGATTACATTTTGGCTTTAGAAATGAGAGTTAAGGTTATGCAAGATATGGTAAATGTATTGTCACCTTCTAATAGTGACTAGAAGATCAATAAATCATGTATTATATTGTGTCAAAAATGAATTATATACAGATTAATTAACTGATGTTGTTTTCTTTGTTCATTCATCAATGTTTTCTCTTTTTCTCAATATAAGTATATACATCTAATAACTTATCTTAGTACAATGCAAAACCTAAAGATAACAAAATGAGAATGTGAATGTTTACTATTGTGAAATCAAAGTGAAGTTGCAAAACTATAAAGTTATGTAAAGTTGCAAGCTTGTTTTGGTAACAAAGTGAGATCACTGACGATGTATATAACTTAAACACAACAGAAGATAGCACCATAACGTATCTCTGAAGATATGGATCATCACAATTCACAATCTCAATTCACTTAGCACATTCTCCATATGCAACAATAGAGTAGCCTGCACAGGCATCTAAAAGACAAACAGTTGAAAACGTAAAATGAACATCAACTTAAGCAATTTCAAAGCCTTCATAAAGTGTCTCCATATTGCAGATACAGGAGAAGGGCCAACCCAAAAAAAAACTTTCAAATAAATTCACTCCAAACTAAACAGGAACATAAGAGATATGGTGAAAAAAGTTTTTATTGTAGCACAATTTTCTCAGCAATGCAGTGCTAGAAGCTAAAAACTACTGGCAAAGGAGCCAGGACCAAAAAAATCCAGGATGTGCATTCTCAGAGAATTATGGCAAACATCTTGATAACAGCTTCATTCTAGAGTGGACAATTTCTAAATACAACAAGCTTCAGGTTCAGGCAATATTGACCGACAGCTTTGAGAGACTCATTCCCAATGTTTGAACAAGAATCCATTGTTATAGAGGTCATATTGGGGCAGTTCACCGCAAATATTTCGAGTAAAGACTTGTCAGTAATTGTTGGGCATTGGAAAAGATCAAGCTTCTCTAACAGATGACACTCATGAGCAATCTCAGATAAGCCTTCATCACCAACAGAAGACAAATCCCATAGGAAAAGATGTTTGAGAGTAGGGCAACCTCGAGCGATAGCCTTGAGACCAGTATCAGTCACACCACGACAAAGGTTGTCTCCCCATATAGATAGCTTTACTAAGCCTCCAAGGTTTGCAGTTCCAATCACAATAGCAGCAAGTCTGACATCTGTGGCTTCCTGCCAGCAAGGGACCTGGCAAGATATCCCTCACCTTCTACACCAGCAGATTCTGCAATCTCACCAATTTTAACTTGGGTACGCTGAGTAGATTCCTCTTCAGCATTCAGATTGGGCTTGAAGGCAAATGCTTCATCCCTGCGGATGCTGCTTAAAAGCATAAGCCAGCGCTTGGAAATACAAGCACAAGCACTTCTCTCTTGGCCACTGGAAAGATGTTTGAATACCTCAACGAGGCATTCATCAAGAAGGAATTCATTGGAAGACTGCTTCTCCTGCTCGAAATTTTCAACAGTGGTACTGACACAAATCCTCTTCCAAGAAGGAACATATACATTCCCATTTTGCCGATGTGATAAAAACAGAGCGGATTGTTTTGGACTTGGATATGAACCTTGGAAGAAAGCACCATTTCCTGAAAATCAAAAGATTTAAAACATCAGACAAAGAGCAGAATACAACAACTTCCTAAATTTTGACTCATCTCATCTCCTCTATAGATTTGTTGGTTATGGAATATTGCTTAGTTTAATTAGCTTAGTTCATTGTAATTTTTTTTTTCTTGTAATCGATACTCATTTTAGTATTTATAAATCAGAAAATAATCCCTAATTATGAAGGAAAAAAAATCTTTTCTGCAATTGAATTTCTGGATCTCATTGAAATCATAACAATTGTTATTTAAATAATTTATATATACCTCTTGTTTACTAGGGTTGTCCAAAGTGAATGCATAATTTTATCTAACACTAAATTTTGATGAGATGAACACCACATGACATCCCACCTCAGTATCCTAACACACTTTACCTCTTCCTTTTACTTGTTGCTCCACCACTAGTTAGTTTTTCATCTAGTTAAATAATATTTATCTCATTTCAGCGCAACACTTCCCTTTTTAATTACACAATATTAATAATAGTAGCAAGGATGAAAAGAAAAGAAATACTAATGGCGGCAGAACAAGTGGAGAGGAGGCTAAAATGGATTGGGACATTGAGATGGCAATATTTATCTCAATCAATGGTTGTGCATTCTCCTAAATAGGTTTCTGCACCAATTGTCTCTTCAACAGATTTGTATTTCATTTTTGTTTTTGTAGTCTATTTAATAAAAAATTGTGAATGAAAATATTTTTGGCATATAACGTGAGGGTAGGATCTTGGAACATAGGTTCGTTGACGGGGAAGTCCATAGAGCTAGTGAAAATTCTCAAGAGGAGAAAGATAAATATAGCTTGTGTCCAAGAGACTAGATGGGTAGGCGCCAAGGCTCGGGATGTTGATGGGTTTAAGTTGTGGTACTCAGGAGGGTCAAGGGATAGAAATGGAGTGGGTATTTTAGTAGATGGGGATTTGAGAGAGCAAGTGATGGAGGTTAGGAGGATCAATGATAGGCTGATGACGATTAAGCTAGTCATTGGAGGATGCACTTTGAGTGTTATTAGTGCTTATGCCCCTCAAGTGGGCTTGGACGAGGAGGCCAAAAAGTGCTTTTATGAGGATTTGGATGAGGTAGTTAGAGGTATACCGAATACCGAGAAGATTGTCATTGGTGGAGATTTTAATGGCCACATCGGGGCAACTTCTAGTGGATTTGATGATGTTCATGGAGGCTTTGGTTTTGGGGAGAGAAATGGAGGTGGAACTTCGCTTCTAGACTTTGCTAAGGCTTTTGAGTTGGTGATTGCGAACTCATGCTTTCCGAAGAAGGAGAACCACTTGGTTACCTTTCGTAGCCCGGTAGCTAAGACCCAGATAGATTACTTACTCCTCAGGAAGGGTGATAGAGGTCTCTTTAAGGACTGCAAGGTCATCCCAAGTGAAAACCTCACTACCCAACACAAGCTTTTGGTGATGGACCTGAAGATTAAGAGGGATAGGTGGAAGATGATACCTAATCGACCGAGGATTAAATGGGGTGGGTTGACCCCTGCCCTTTCTCGGGAGATGGGTGAGGAGCTGATGGGGATGGGGGCTTGGAGTGGTAGCGGGGATGCGGACAGCATGTGGAATAAAGCAGCTAGTTGCATTAGGGAAGTTGCTTCTAAGGTGTTAGGGGTGTCAAGGGGTAAATTTGGAGGCCATAAAGGAGATTGGTGGTGGAATGGGGAAGTCCAAGGTAAAGTGGAAGCGAAGAAGGCTGCATACATAAAATTGGCGGAGTGCGTAGACGAGGAAGAGAAGCGGACGCTTAAGAAAGTCTATAAGACGACAAAGACAGAAGCTAAGTTAGCTGTTACGAAGGCGAAGACGGCAGCTTTCGAACGCTTGTATGTCGAGCTGGGGGACAAAGGTGGGGATAAGAAGTTGTATAGGCTCGCAAAAGCAAGAGAGAGGAAGGCGCGCGACTTGGACCAAGTGAAGTGTATCAAAGATGAGGAAGGCAAAATACTGGTGGAAGAGACCGCCATCAAGCAAAGATGGCGAAGCTACTTTCACAAACTTTTAAATGAAAAAGGGGAAGCAGACATTGTGTTGGGTGATTTGGCACACTCTGAAAGACTTCGGGATTTTGGATACTATAGGTGCGTTAGGTCCGAGGAGGTTATACGGGCTATTAGTAGGATGAGTAGGGGAAGAGCGACCGGACCCGATGAGATTCCGGTAGAATTTTGGAAGAGCATGGACAAGGCAGGCATAGAGTGGTTAACTGGGTTGTTTAATGTTATCTTTAAGATAGCAAAAATGCCTGAAGAATGGAGGTGGAGTACAATGGTTCCGTTGTATAAAAACAAGGGTGATATCCAAAACTGTAACAACTACAGGGGTATCAAATTGTTGAGCCATACTATGAAGATTTGGGAGAGAGTGGTGGAGATGAGGGTGAGAAAAAGGGTGTCCATCTCTGAGAATCAGTTTGGATTCATGCCGGGACGTTCGACTACCGAAGCCATTCATCTTATGCGTAGACTGGTAGAAAAATATAGAGAAAGGAAGAGAGACCTACATATGGTGTTCATTGACCTTGAAAAGGCCTATGACAAAGTACCGAGGAATGTCCTCTGGAGGTGCTTGGAGTCTAAAGGAGTCCCGATGATTTATATTAGGGCGATAAAGGACATGTACGGTGGAGCCAAGACTCGGGTTAGAACAGTTGGAGGAGACTCAGAACATTTCCCAGTTGAGATGGGGCTGCATCAGGGATCAGTCCTAAGCCCTTTCCTATTTGCTTTGGTGATGGACGAGTTGACGCGGTCTATTCAGGAGAAGGTCCCATGGTGTATGTTATTTGCGGATGACATAGTACTGATTGATGAGACGCGGGACAGAGTTAATGCGCGGTTGGAGGTATGGAGACAAACGCTGGAGTCCAAAGGGTTTAGGTTGAGTAGGACCAAAACAGAATATTTGGGGTGCAAATTCAGTGATGTGGTGGATGAGACAGATGTGGAAGTGAGACTTGCCGCACAAATCATTCCTAAGAAGGAAAGTTTTAAGTATCTTGGGGCTGTAATCCAAGGGAGTGGTGACATCGATGATGATGTCACACATCACATTGGGGCTGCTTGGATGAAATGGAGGCTTGCCTCTAAAGTATTGTGTGTAAGAAAATTCCACCGAAACTTAAAGGTAAGTTTTACAGAGTGGTAGTTAGACCGGCCTTGTTGTATGGAGCGGAGTGTTGGCCGGTCAAGAACGCACACGTTCATAAAATGCATGTTGCGGAGATGAGGATGTTGAGATGGATGTGTGGGCACACTAGGAGCGACAGGATTAGGAATGAGGTTATCCGGGAGAAGGTGGGAGTGGCCTCTGTGGTGGACAAGTTGAGGGAAGCGAGACTGAGATGGTTTGGGCATGTGAAGAGACGGAGAGCAGACGCCCCAGTGAGGAGGTGCGAGGTAATGGTGGTAGAGGGTACGCGGAGGGGTAGAGGTAGGCCCAAGAAGTATTGGGAGGAGGTGATTAGACAAGAATTGGCTATGCTTCACATTACCGAGGACATGACTCTAGATAGAAAGGAGTGGAGGTCACGTATTAAGGTTGAAGGTTAGTAGGGTTAGCGTGTTGTCTTCCCTTGCAAGGGTATGGGTTGTTAGCGTTTGGGGTAGACCTAGCCTTATGTTGTTTACTGCGTTTCACGCATCGCATTATTTTCTTGTTGTTACTGTCTCATTTGTTGAGTATACGCTATCTTTTGTATTGGCTGTTATGTTTTATATATATCTCTCCTGTCACTTAGATTTGTTGTTCTTGAGTTGAGGGTCTCCCGGAAATAGCCTCTCTACCTCCACGAGGTAGTGGCAAGGTCTGCGTACACTTTACCCTCCCCAGACCCCACCTAGTGGGATTTCACTGGGCATGTTGTTGTTGTTGTTGTTGGGCATAAAAATTTAGTTGCTAAAAAGCAAAAACTTAAAGATCGATACATTTTTAAGGAAATTTGTGCAATTCCATGTTTATTCATGTAACTTTTTTTCTAAAAATATACATGTCCTAAAAAACATAACTTCAGTTTATGAACATTATAATAAATTTTGAAATGCTACACAATTTATGTCTTCTTCTTCTTTCGTACAAATCTATGTTGCTAAGTATAGCATAGTTACGACTTACAGAATAACTTGCGAAATATTATGATAAAAGAAGAAGAAGACGACGACAAGGCTCATTGCATTTTTGAGTTTTGGAGAACTGGAATTTGAGAACATTATGTCTTAAACGTAACTCTTGAGTACAGAGGAATATTGAGACACTGAACATACGCTACCACTTAATACTTACTGATCATTTGCGTCGGTTTGCCAGCATTGGACGTTAGTTTCTTAATGGAAGCATTGTATAGAAAGCCACTTGCCTCATAGTAGACAAACATTTCAGTTTATGGAAGGAGATTCAATCCAACTACCAGCCTTCTGCTTTGTAGCACGCCATTTCTTCATCAACTTATCCAAGCCAGTTATGTCACTGCAGACTCCTTTGTCTCCATAGATTTTGGAAAGCACCGAGTATACTGCAGGATGGTCGTGTTCCAATTTGTAGATTCCATTTGCTGCAATCTCTCCGAGCTCTAGACATGAGTGCAAGCCACATGCTCCTAGCAATGCCCCCCAGACGACCACATCAGGCTTAAAAGGCATCCCATCGATTAGTTTTTCTGCTTTCTCAAGCTGACCTGCCCTTCCATACAAGTCCACCATACATGCATAGTGTTCCATCTCTGCTTTCAATCCGTACTCTGTTACCATAGAATTGAAAATTCTCTCACCTTCCTCGACTAGCCCACCATGGCCACATGCATATACCAAATTAATAAAAGTAATTTCATCAGGCCTGATACCACTCTTTAGCATCCTATCAAACTCCTGCATTGCCCTCTCTGCAAGCCCATGTCTTGCATAACCTCCAATGATCGAATTCCAAGCTACCAAATTCCTTGCCGGGATAGACTCAAAAATGCAGAAAGCAACTTCAATGTCTCCACATTTAGCGTACATGTCAAGAAGGGAGGTCAACAAGACGACATCAAGAGGGAAACCGGACTTCAAGATGCACGCATGAACTTGATAGCCTACCAGAACAGCAGAGTAGCCTGCACAGGCATCTAAAACAGTTGAAAACGTAAAATGATTAGGACGAGAACCCGAGTTCAACATCAACTTAAATAATTTCAAAGCCTTCATAAACTCTCCATATTGCACATACCCTCTTATCATTGCTGTCCAAGAAACCACATCTTTCTCACTCATCTTATCAAAAACGAATCGAGCTTCATTAAGCTTCTTGTTCTCAATATACCCATTGATCAAAGTACTCCAAGTAAAAGAATTTCTCATAGGCATCATATCAAAAGCCCTCTGCGCCTCACTTGTGCACCCAAATTTCATATAACCCAAAATCAACACATTCCACGGCGTAACATCTTTATCCAAAATCTCATAAAAAACTCGAGCTAAACCTCTGTAATCATCCAAATCAACATAACCCCTCATCAATGCTGACCCTACAAAGACATTGAGACTTATCCCCAAACAGAGCACGAGACCGTGAAGCTGAGGGATCAAATGCTTGTAATCCAAATGCAAGAAGGAGCTAATTGACACTGCGAAAGTGAGCTCATTGGGTCTCATGTCTCCACATCTGTT